CATTTCCTCCTCCTCTCCCCAACCATATAATTATGTTTATATCTTATTATTATTACCATATATATATATATATATATATATATAAATACAAGAATTTTTTCCTAATCCAATATTCAATTACTACAATGTATATTTTCAAATAAATACAACAAGATTCATGAATTTATTATAAAAATTTATATGTACTTTGACCATTTCTTTCATTTATAATTAGTTTTTATTAGCAAAAAGATTCGATAGTAAATTTTCAAACGTGTTTTACTATTATAAGGGTGTATTTTTAAAAAGAATATAAAATACATATATTTTGTCAAAATACATTTTTAAGCTCATTACTTTCAATTTTGTTCAAAATTTTTGGTAATCGAACTAATTAATAAACAAATATTAAGTATCAAACTATTTTAATTTTTTTAAATTTAATAATTTGAATGTGTTTTAATTATAATAATGAGTAAATAATTAAATAAAAATATTAATTTATAACTTGAATTCAAATATATATATATATATGGGATAAAATGATGATAATTTTGATGCTAATCTTATAATTAGGATATGGATGGTTTATCTTTAACTATATTTGAATACACGAAATAATATCTTAAATTCAAATTTCAAAAAAAAAAAGAAAAAAAAAAAGAAAACATCAAATATTTTCAGAACTTGACAAAAAGAGAAGATTTAAAAATTCAATAATTTTAAAAGAAGACGAAACAAAAAGAAAGATTTTGACCCAAACAACCCCAATTCCCAAAAGCCTCCTCTCTAGACCCTCTACGGAAACAGAGAAAAAATGGATGCCAGAAAAATAGTGGTGGTAGTAGAAGACGTCGACGTAGCACGAAAAGCTCTCGAATGGACTCTTCACAATCTTCTCCGCTATGGCGATTTACTCACTCTCCTTCATGTTTTCTCTCCCGCTAGATCCGGAAACAAGAAGAAGATAAGGTTTCTCCGCTTGAAAGGCTATGACCTTGCTCTCTCATTCAAAGACATCTGCAACGCCGCGTTCCTCAATGTATGTCTTCTCTCTGATTCCTCCTTTTGTCCTTTGAGAAGATGATCGAATTTTAAGTTCGATGATTAAGTCGATCGATGATCAAATTTTTTTTTTCCCGCTGTGCGTACTAATTTTATGTTTATGTTTGATGTGTAAAGTCATTGTGGTGTTGCAGACTAATGTTGAGATTGTCGTGGCGGAAGGCGATGAGGAAGGAAGGAAGATTGCCGCGTTGGTGAGGGAAATTGGCGCCTCTGTTCTTGTTGTTGGTCTCCATGATAATAGCTTCCTTTACAGGTAAGTTATTTATTTTGACTTCTCATTTTATTTTGTTTCGTTTCCAAAATGGTTAAATTGCATCATTTTAATTAATTACTTTATTAGCATTCCGAGTAATCATTTCAGTTTGCGAGAACTTGTGTTCATTTAATTTCCTCTGTAAATTGTTCGAGTTCGAATCCAGAATAAATTCTCGAACCTACTCAAAACTATTTTAAATGTGTGAAAATCGGTTGATAATATCTTTTACTGCAAAATTAAATAGTAATAATAATAATCAATTTCCTGATTGGTGAGATTTCCTCAAATTTGATTTGTTATTATCTTGTTGATGGTATAAGAAATGGTCAACCGGGTTTTTCTGGGTTCTTTCCAATGTCAAATAATTTTGATTGATGAAGTCAAATGGTTATTATCGTAAATAAAAATACATGTATGTATATTTACCGTATTACAGTATAGAGTAGGGCCATATATATAATGTATTATGAGTTGAGCTTCAGTTTGCTGTTAAAACACCATAGGCACATTCACGTGCTCTGTCCATGGAAGGGAAAAAGCACATGACCTTTTTAGGGTCCATTGAAGAAGAAACAGAGATCCCCCCAGTACCTGGATAACATTATTATTTTTATTTTCAACCCAGAAATAACATAATAGCATTATTATATCTACCCACATGTATACATTCATGGTGGCAGAGTCAGAATATTTTATCAGGGGTGAAAAAAATTTTACATTGTAGAAAAATCATAAGGTTTTACATTGATACATAGTACAAATTAGAAAGTAACCATGTTCAATTTCTCTCACTTTTTTAGTAATTAAAATATATAATTTTTTAAAAAAACTGAAGTTGTTGACACCCACGTTTTGGTGTGGGCTTTTGTTACGTCTCACACAGCATGACTGAGCAATTCATTGGGTAATAATTGCAAAATTATCCTGTATTTTTATTTTTTTATATCAGATTAATCTTTATTTTTTTTTAATTGGGTCGACTGAAAAATACAAATTTAGAAAGGAAGAAAATGACCCAAATATTTTTTTATATGATATATAATGTGGTATAATACAGAAAAATAGGGGAATTAATTGCTTTACTAAAAAGAGAAATACAAAATTTTTATGGCAATTACCCAAATTTGAATATTAGATTATAACATTTTTCTCATGTAACTTTTGGTTAGGTTAAGTAATTAATTATGTATATTAGCTAACCACAAGATTCTCCACATTAACAATTCTACTAAATACTCAACCACCCACAAAATTATTCACTGATTTCATAAAAACCCAGATGTAGAATTCAATTTCTTGACCAATTTTGGATTTTCATTTCTCATTATTTTTTACTTTCATTAACGTATAATTTTGTAATGTAACCAAATATAGGTTTATATACGAAATTAAAATTATGTTGTATGTATGTATAGGTTGGCAATGGCCCACAATGATATAGCAAACCACTTCAATTGTAGGGTACTTGCCATCAAGCAACCAACATCAGCACCAGTAGAGACCGCAACCCCGGTAACACTAGACAGTTCAACAAACATGGACTTTTCCCAGATTGAGATTTCCAGATTACAGTAAGATTCCCCTTCTTAATTAGTTTTCTCCAATATACATTTTCTTATATACATATATACGTATCCGCACACATATATATGTTTGCCTTCTCTATTTGTAACTTGCATCATTGCAACGGGGTAGTGTTTAGAAACTAAAATCTCTTTTCTAAAATAAAAATACTAATTTATTCTTGTGCTGTTGTTATCTGCATGAACATACATACATATATATATATAGATAGATATATTACTTTGTAAGCTGCTATCATAAAAGATATATATATATATATTTGTTATCAATGTTATTAAAACAAGTATTTGGTATGGTTCTTAAATATTTATTGCTGGACATGACGATATCATTACTAGTGGAGTGATTAGTAAATTAGAAGGAGCCAATATTTAAGGAATTTGCTTGCCTTTTTATAAATACTTGACCAATATTTCAGACCTTTAATTAAATGTAGTCTCATTCTATTATTAAATTTCGATCCAACCGTAGCATTGTCATTCAGTGTTTGAACTTCTTATTACAACTATTTTATTTATTTATTTATTTATTATTATTTGTTTAGAATTATACATGATACGTTACTTGTAATTAAACTATTTCTTTCATGAATTTATAAGTTTCGTTATTTTCCGAGAGTCAATAATTTTTGAATTTTAAGACATTATAAATGATATGTTATGATGGGTAATTACAATTATGGTATAAAATAATTATTCTATAATTATATGATCATACAAAATGTTATAAAAGATTAGGAGATAGAATGCAGAAATGCTATACATATATATATATATATATAGAAGAGTAAAGCAATGAAGTATAATATACTTGGATTGCAGGCTTCCAGATGTTCCGGCACCCAAAATTCCATATAGAATATGCCCAAATCCTTCGGCAATAATTTGGAGGTCAATGTCAAGGAAGTCACCAAGAAGAAAAAAAAGATGTTTCTTATTAAATTTGATTTCAAATAAACAATAGATTGAGCTCATTTTCAGAGTCTTTATTTTTTTGTGCATATCTGGGCTTTTTTTTTTTTTTTAAATTTCAATTTTATTTGGGCCTTAATTTTATTAATTAGTCTTACAAAAAACACTACACAGAGAGTTGAATATAGGAAGGAATATGGAAATGAAATTCTGATCCTAGCCCTTCATTTGTGCTCACAAGTTAATCACTACTTGATCTTGATTCAATTCACTCCCTTGATTTTTTTTTTTTTTTTGGGGTTAAATTTTACAATAATGTAATTTTTTTTAATATTTAATTTGTTTGATTTAACTTCAAAAAATCTTATT